CACCACCACCACCACCACCACCACCACCACCACCACCACCACCACCACCAACAAGGTGAAGGTCTTACACCCAGCGGCTGGTCACCAATATTGAGGTCACCAGAGAAAGTACCTCACGTCTCCTGCTCTATCCCAGCGTTGGTGGCTGTATCCCAGCGTTGGTGGCTGTATCCCAGCGTTGATGGTTGTATCCCAGCGTTGGTGGCTGTATCCCAGCGTTGGTGGTTGTATCCCAGCGCTGGTGACTGTATCCCAGCGTTGGTGGTTGTATCCCAGCGTTGGTGGTTGTATCCCAGCGTTGGTGGCTGTATCCCAGCGTTGATGGTTGTATCCCAGCGTTGGTGGCTGTATCCCAGCGTTGGTGGTTGTATCCCAGCGTTGGTGGCTGTATCCCAGCGTTGGTGGTTGTATCCCAGCGTTGGTGGCTGTATTCCTGCGTTGGTGGCTGTATCCCAGCGTTGGTGGTTGTATTCCTGCGTTGGTGGCTGTATCCCAGCGTTGGTGGTTGTATTCCTGCGTTGGTGGCTGTATCCAAGCGTTGGTGGCTGTGTCCCAGCGTTGGTGGTTGTATTCCTGCGTTGGTGGTTGTATCCCAGCGCTGGTGGTTGTATCCCAGCGCTGGTGACTGTATCGCAGCGTTGGTGGTTGTATCCCAGCGTTGGTGGTTGTATCCCAGCGTTGGTGGTTGTATTCCTGCGTTGGTGGCTGTATCCAAGCGTTGGTGGTTGTATCCCAGCGCTGGTGACTGTATCGCAGCGTTGGTGGTTGTATCCCAGCGTTGGTGGTTGTATCCCAGCGTTGGTGGCTGTATCCCAGCGTTGGTGGCTGTATCCCAGCGTTGGTGGTTGTATCCCAGCGTTGGTGGCTGTATCCCAGCGTTGGTGGTTGTATCCCAGCGTTGGTGGTTGTATCCCAGCGTTGGTGGCTGTATCCCAGCGTTGGTGGTTGTATTCCTGAGTTGGTGGTTGTATCCCAGCGTTGGTGGCTGTATCCCAGCGTTGGTACTCACCTAGTTGTACTCACCTAGTTGTGTTTGCGGGGGTTGAGCTCTGGCTCTTTGGTCCCGCCTCTCAACCGTCAATCAACAGGTGTACAGATTCCTGAGCCTATCGGGCTCTGTCATATCTACACTTGAAACTGTGTATGGAGTCAGCCTCCACCACATCACCCCCTAATGCATTCCATTTGTCAACCACTCTGACACTAAAAAAGTTGGTGGTTGTATTCCTGCGTTGGTGGTTGTATCCCAGCGATGGTGGCTGTATCCCAGCGTTGGTGGTTTTATCCCAGCGATGGTGGCTGTATCCCAGCGTTGGTGGCTGTATCCCAGCGTTGGTGGTTGTATCCCAGCGCTGGTGGCTGTATCCCAGCGTTGATGGTTGTATCCCAGCGTTGGTGGTTGTATCCCAGCGTTGGTGGCTGTATCCCAGCGTTGGTGGTTGTATCCCAGCGTTGGTGGCTGTATCCCAGCGTTGGTGGCTGTATCCCAGCGTTGGTGGTTGTATTCCTGAGTTGGTGGTTGTATCCCAGCGTTGGTGGCTGTATCCCAGCGTTGGTGGTTGTATTCCTGCGTTGGTGGTTGTATCCCAGCGTTGGTGGTTGTATCCCAGCGTTGGTGGCTGTATCCCAGCGATGGTGGCTGTATGCCAGCGTTGGTGGCTGTATCCCAGCGTTGGTGGTTGTATCCCAGCGCTGGTGGCTGTATCCCAGCGTTGATGGTTGTATCCCAGCGTTGGTGGATGTATCCCAGCGTTGGTGGTTGTATCCCAGCGTTGGTGGCTGTATCCAAGCGTTGGTGGTTGTATCCCAGCGTTGGTGGCTGTATTCCTGCGTTGGTGGCTGTATCCCAGCGTTGGTGGTTGTATTCCTGCGTTGGTGGCTGTATCCCAGCGTTGGTGGTTGTATTCCTGCGTTGGTGGCTGTATCCAAGCGTTGGTGGCTGTATCCCAGCGTTGGTGGTTGTATTCCTGCGTTGGTGGTTGTATCCCAGCGCTGGTGGCTGTATCCCAGCGTTGGTGGTTGTATCCCAGCGCTGGTGGCTGTATCCCAGCGTTGGTGGTTGTATCCCAGCGTTGGTGGCTGTATCCCAGCGCTGGTGGCTGTATCCCAGCGTTGGTGGTTGTATCCCAGCGTTGGTGGCTGTATCCCAGCGTTGGTGGCTGTATCCCTGTGCTGGTGGCTGTATCCCAGCACTGGTGGCTGTATCCCGGCGCTGGTGGCTGTATCCCAGCGCTATTGGCTGTATCCCAGCGCTGGTGGCTGTATCCCAGCGCTAGTGGCTGTATCCCAGCGCTGGTGGCTGTATCCCAGCGCTAGTGGCTGTATCCCAGCGCTAGTGGCTGTATCCCAGCGCTGGTGGCTTTATCCCAGCACTGGTGGTTGTATCCCAGCGCTGGTGGCTGTATCCCAGCTTTGATGGCTGTATCCCAGCTTTGGTGGCTGTATCCCATCGTTGGAGGCTGTATCCCAGCGTCGGTGGTTGTATCCCAGCGTTGGTGGCTGTATCCCAGCGCTGGTGGCTGTATCCCAACGCTGGTGGTGGTGGCTGTATCCCAGCGCTGGTGGTGGTGGCTGTATCCCAGCGCTGGTGGTGGTGGCTGTATCCTAGCGCTGGTGGTGGTAGCTGTATCCCAGCGCTGGTGGCTGTATCCCAGCGCTGGTAGCTGTATCCCAGCGCTGGTGGTGGTGGCTTTATCCCGGTGCTGGTGGTTGTATCCCAGAGCTGGTAACTGTATCCCAGAGCTGGTGGCTGTATCCCAGCACTGGTGGCTGTATCCCAGCGCTGGTGGCTGTATCCCAGCGCTGGGGGCTGTATTCCAGCGCTTGCTGCTGTATCCCGGCGCTGGTGGCTGTATCCCAGCGCTGGTGACTGTATCCCGACGTTGTCGGCTGTATCCCAGCGCTGGTGGCTGTATCCTGGCGCTAGTGGCTGTATCCCAGCGCTGGTGGCGGTATCCCAACGCTGGTGGCTGTATCCCAGCGCTGGTGGCGGTATCCCAACGCTGGTGGCTGTATCCTGGCGCTGGTGGCTGTATCCCAGCGCTGGTGGCTGTATCCCAGCGCTGGGGGCTGTATCCCAGCGCTGGGGGCTGTATCCCAGCGCTGGTGGCGGTATCCCAACGCTGGTGGCTGTATCCTAGCGCTGGTGGCTGTATCCCAGCGCTGGTGGCGGTATCCCAACGCTGGTGGCTGTATCCTGGCGCTGGTGGCTGTATCCCAGCGCTGGCTGCTGTATCCCAGCGCTAACGGCTATATCCCAGCGCTGGTGGCTGTATCCCATCACTGTGGTGTGGCAGGAGACTGTGTTAGTGTGGTCACTGTGGTGTGGTAGGAGACTGTGTTAGTGTGGTCACTGTGGTGTGGTAGGAGACTGTGTTAGTGTGGTCACTGTGGTGTGGTAGGAGACTGTGTTAGTGTGGTCACTGTGGTGTGGTAGGAGACTGTGTTAGTGTGGTCACTGTGGTGTGGTAGGAGACTGTGTTAGTGTGATCACTGTGGTGTGGTAGGAGACTGTGTTAGCGTGGTCACTGTGGTGTGGTAGGAGACTGTGTTAGTGTGGTCACTGTGGTGTGGTAGGAGACTGTGTTAGTGTGATCACTGTGGTGTGGCAGGAGACTGTGTTAGTGTGGTCACTGTGGTGTGGTAGGAGACTGTGTAAGCGTGGTCACTGTGGTGTGGTAGGAGACTGTGTTAGCGTGGTCACTGTGGTGTGGTAGGAGACTGTGTTAGTGTGGTCACTGTGGTGTGGTAGGAGACTGTGTTAGTGTGATCACTGTGGTGTGGTAGGAGACTGTGTTAGCGTGGTCACTGTGGTGTGGTAGGAGACTGTGTTAGTGTGGTCACTGTGGTGTGGTAGGAGACTGTGTTAGTGTGGTCACTGTGGTGTGGTAGGAGACTGTGTAGTGTGGTCACTGTGGTGTGGTAGGAGACTGTGTTAGTGTGGTCACTGTGGTGTGGTAGGAGACTGTGTAGTGTGGTCACTGTGGTGTGGTAGGAGACTGTGTTAGCGTGGTCACTGTGGTGTGGTAGGAGACTGTGTTAGTGTGGTCACTGTGGTGTGGCAGGAGACTGTGTTAGTGTGGTCACTGTGGTGTGGTAGGAGACTGTGTTAGTGTGGTCACTGTGGTGTGGTAGGAGACTGTGTTAGTGTGGTTACTGTGGTGTGGTAGGAGACTGTGTTAGTGTGGTCACTGTGGTGTGGTAGGAGACTGTGTTAGTGTGGTCACTGTGGTGTGGTAGGAGACTGTGTTAGTGTGGTCACTGTGGTGTGGTAGGAGACTGTGTTAGTGTGGTCACTGTGGTGTGGTAGGAGACTGTGTTAGTGTGGTCACTGTGGTGTGGTAGGAGACTGTGTTAGTGTGGTCACTGTGGTGTGGTAGGAGACTGTGTTAGTGTGGTCACTGTGGTGTGGTAGGAGACTGTGTTAGTGTGGTCACTGTGGTGTGGCAGGAGACTGTGTTAGTGTGGTCACTGTGGTGTGGTAGGAGACTGTGTTAGCGTGGTCACTGTGGTGTGGTAGGAGACTGTGTTAGTGTGGTCACTGTGGTGTGGTAGGAGACTGTGTTAGTGTGGTCACTGTGGTGTGGTAGGAGACTGTGTTAGTGTGGTCACTGTGGTGTGGTAGGAGACTGTGTTAGCGTGGTCACTGTGGTGTGGTAGGAGACTGTGTTAGTGTGGTCACTGTGGTGTGGTAGGAGACTGTGTTAGTGTGGTCACTGTGGTGTGGTAGGAGACTGTGTTAGTGTGGTCACTGTGGTGTGGTAGGAGACTGTGTTAGTGTGGTCACTGTGGTGTGGCAGGAGACTGTGTTAGTGTGGTCACTGTGGTGTGGTAGGAGACTGTGTTAGTGTGGTCACTGTGGTGTGGTAGGAGACTGTGTTAGTGTGGTCACTGTGGTGTGGTAGGAGACTGTGTTAGTGTGGTCACTGTGGTGTGGTAGGAGCCTGTATGAACCTAACTCTACTCACATAATAAGTGACTACGTAGTGTGTTACTAAGTCATGCGCTGGAAAGTTGATGCGCCGAGTGCGCCCAGACCTACAGTGCCAGTTATCAATGAGGTGTTGGCACCAAGATGGTTCCGTGTGAGTGGTAGAGCTGTCAGGGTTGTGTGTGTGTGTGTGTGTGTGTGTGTGTGTGTGTGTGTGTGTGTGTGTGTGTGTGTGTGTGTGTGTGTGTGTGTGTGTGTGTGTGTGTGTGTGTGTGTGTGTGTGTGTGTGTGTGTGTGTGTGTGTGCGTGTGTGTGTGTGTGTTTTAGTAAAAAAAAAATTAATTAATTTTCATATGTGTTAATAAAGCAGCAGTGTGAGGGAGAGTGCAGGGGGACGGTCCTGTGCTCTAATGCCAGAGACATCACAACTGCCTATATATGACATATTTCATGAGGGATCACCGCTGACCTCCCGTCGTCCGGGAGGTCGCGGCAGGCGTACGCACCCACGGAATTAGTTATTTAATTCCTCTAATGCCCACACTGTAATTACCAGTCTGTTATTCTTGTGGGAACATGAGATGTTAGAGAGAGGCTGGAGGCGACGAAGCCCACTCCAACACCACAGACGCCACCAGGAGACTTCAACGCTCACAGATAGTTATCTACGCTTAGTCGTGCGCCGCTCTGAGAGAATATAATTCATTTGGACGGTGAATAGGGGGTAATATTTAAATAGAAATTCAGACCCAAGCTGGCGTTCTGTTAACAGTCTAGAGTCATGTCCGGATATGACCAACTATAATGTTTATATTGACCATGGAGGGGCTACGACACTAATGTGTTGATGCGTCAGGTGTCACTGAGTACTGGTGAGAGTAGAAGACTTGTGAGGGTCCGACAGATGGCACCGTGCCACCGTGCGCCACACCACCACCAGCGGTACGCTTCATGCTCACGGTACGAGGAAAGTGTGTTAATGGGTAGCGCAGGTAGAGAGGTACACTGTACCGCAGCCATGGTACCGTTCTTGATGATTAAATGGTTGTCTTGTTTCTTGCAGATACGCCGAGGACCCCCAAGGAAGACTCGCAGGTAATGTGGCTGTGTCTGTATCCTCATGTGGTCGTTCTTCTCCTGCTTCTGCTTCTGCTTCTGCTTCTTCTTCTTCTTCTTCTTCTTCTTCTTCTTCTTCTTCTTCTTCATCTTCTTCTTCTTCTTCTTCTCCTCCTCCTACATGTGTCTTGAGACATGGACCACTATGGACACTAACTAAACGTTACACAACTTAGCGTTCCGTCGTGCCCACTGAAGGACTCTGGAGGTGGAGGAGTGAGGCAGGACTCCTGGACCATCACTGCGTATACGCGGCGGTGTCTCACACCTCAAGGCCAGCCACTCCTCTCTTCTTACAGGCGTCGTCGTCGTCGTCCTCTTCACTCTCAACAGATAAATATGTTCATTACTATTCATGCTAAAATATAGTGTACTAGATGCGTCAGCCGGAAGTCCGGTGGAGAGTGAGGGCCTCGTTGTCACTCCACGCTGCCATCATCTTCACTCTTGTGTCGTCCCTTAAGGTGCCACACTTGATGTCGGAGACGTCGTAGTTTTCTGTGTGGCAACACTGTAATATGACTATGTGGCCACCCCCCCAGGAGGCGTGGTCAGGGGTCACCTGGAGGTGGCAGGTGTCTTGGTATACTGGAGGTGACAGGTGTCTTGTTGTGTTGGAAGTGACAGGGGTCTTGGTATGCTGGAGGTGACAGGTGTCTTGGTATGCTGGAGGTGACAGGTGTCTTGGTATACTGGAGGAGGCAGGTGTGCACATACCCGCCAGGCACCTGTAGCCATCTTCCTCACCTTAAGACAAGAGTCTGCGGTCACCGTCGGAGAGAAACTTGGAGTGTTGTCACCTTGGGAAAGACATTACTCCCGCGTGACCGCTGTTCTCTCAATGTCACAACCTCACGCACTTCTCTCTTCTATGTTACACTAACTCTACTTATACCACAACCTTCAAACTCAGCCTCTTGAACAACATTCAAACTGAGCTACTCTTGGGACCCTCAATCCGAGATCACTTAGCTAGAGCGGAACTTTTTGCCTTTCTCGGTTACTTGACCACAATAACAAAAGCACGGAAGCATTAGAATAAAAGCAAAACGAAGGTTTGGTGTTCACGGACTCTGAATTTTCAAAGGCATTTGATCACTGTGAGGAAGGAGTGATAGAACATAAAATGAGATCGTTAACAATAACAGGCAAAGTACGGGTGGACGGATTGTGAATTTTCTGTCAAACAGAATGCAAAGCGTAACAGCCAATCAAATCAAATCAAGTGCAAGCACAGTGAAAATCTCAGTAGTTCAGGGCCCAGTTCTTATATAGACAAAATTACAAGTCACACCTTCTTGTCAACCTTTACAGTATATGTACAAATCAGCAGGAAAAATACTGCTCAGTACTCACTTTCCCTTCACAGTCGGAGAGATGGGTGAAACAGCAGTGAAATAGAGTGAATACATGCCACTCATACACACGATAAGGTACATCAGTTATGGGGGCCGTCTCGGAGCTCTCGAGATGTACTCTCTGGAAAGAAGCAGAGAGAGGAATTAAACAATTTATATGTGGAAAATACTGGAAGGTCAGGTCCCAAATTTGCACAGGAGAATAACAACATTCAGGAGTGAGCGACATAGAAGGAGATGCAGAATATAGCCAGTGAGGCGTCGGGGTGCCATAGGCACAAGCAGAGAACACTGTGAACATCTGAGGGTTCTCGGCTGTTCAACACCCTCCCAGCAATTGAAATATTGTCGGAACAAAACTGCACTTGTTGAAGAACAAAATAAACCCGTCATTTCTTTGTTCAAAAAAATTGACCAAGTTCCTGCAAGAAGTGCCGGACCAACCAGGCTGTAGTGGGTATGTGGGCCTGCGGGCCGCTCCAAGCAACAGCCTGGTGGACCAAGTTATCACAAGTCAAGCCTGACCTCGAGCTAGGCTTGGGTAGCAGTAGAACTTCCAGAACCCTGTTTGTGTATACTTCAGGTATACTCCAGGTATACTCCAGGTGTACTTCAGGTATACTGCAGGAGAACCTTCAAACTAACCACCTCAGAGTATGCGTTGAAGCTCTGCAATTTTAGTCGTATCAAAGACAATTCAACATCAGTCAGTGAGCCAATAACAAAGATAAGTTACGATTATTATCCTGCACTGGTAGCAGGGGCCCCCCAGGCACCACGCTCACAGTCACACGCCACCCAGGCACTGTGTTAGGTCGGGGCGGCTGGCTGGCACACGGCGCCCCCTTGCGTAGAGGTACAGGTGTACCTCTAGATAGTAGAGGTAAACCTCTATAGTAGAGGTTCCACTGTGCTCCGGTACATCACACTGGATGATGGACCTAAGCGTGTGGTGTGCTACACTCTCATACCTACACAGCTGTCATCTTGCATCGAGAACGTTTGTAACAGGTGTTTCACCAAGACAGCTGTGGGGAGTGTAGTTCTCCCTGAAGGTGTGAGGACCCTGCTGAGGTCCGCTTGGGCCACCGTTGCTCTCCCTCATGTGTGTGGGGGGGGGGGACACCCTTGGGTGTACCAGGGTGCCACCCTTGGGTGTACCAGGGTGCCACTCTTGGGTGTACCAGGGTGCCACCCTTGGGTGTACCAGGGTGCCACCCTTGAAGGTACCAGGGGTGCCACCCTTGGGGGTACCAGACAGCCATCAGCTGGACCTTGACAGCAAGGTGGCGGTAAGCCCGGGCCGCCACGGGCTGTACTGTGGCCAACAACCCCATATTCACCCGACCACACCCTCCAGTAGCTCACACACACACACACACACACACACACACACACACACACACACACACACACACACACACACACACACACACACACACACACACACACACACACACACACACACACACACACACACACACACACACACACACACACACACACACACACACACACACACACACACACACACACACACACACACACACACACACACCTCTCGTGGTGCTGCCCCCATGACGTTGACTTTTCAACGGGGGTATTCTGCACATCCTGCCATGCCTTCTGGTCTCATGTGATGTTATTTCTCTGTGCATTTCGAACATTTCCTCTATTTCCATTGAGTCAATCTCCCTAAGTATTTTATACATCCCTATCATGTGTTCCCCTTCTCTTTCCTTGTTTCTAGCGTCGTCAGGTTTAGTTCCTTCAGTCTCTGTCTATACTCCATCCTTCACAATTCTGGGACGAGCCTCGTCGCAAACTTCTGAACCTTTCCTAGTTTCCAAATGTGTTTCTTTAACAAATGAGTTTTAATATCTCTAATGTATATATATATATATATATATATATATATATATATATATATATATATATATATATACTTATAGAGAATATGTGAAAATGTCTGTCTAACCAAAGGTGGAGGCCAGACACCTGAGAAGAGGCCTTACCTAAATTTGCAGGGAGAATGGTCTGGGGTACAGGGCTGACATAGGCTGGTCAGGGTAGACATAAGTTAAATAATTTAAACAAAATTGTTAATTATTCCCTCCCTCCCTCCCTCCCTCCCTCCCACCTGGGGACCGGATTCTCAGGGATTCAGCTGAGGTCAAGGGTCAACCACGGTGACCCAGCAGTGTTTCCTCGTGGGGGGAAATAATTATTCCTTAAACACATAGTTTCATTGTTCCTTAATATTGTTTTATGAAAGGGAAGGAGGTACTAAGGCGGTGGGTAGAGGGGGAGGGGGGGTAGAGGGGGGAGGGGAGAGGGGGTAGGGGGGAGGACGAGGGGAGGAGGGGTTATAGAGGACGTAGATAGATGAATGGATGGATGTATGGATAGATAGATGGATAAATTGATACGCAGATTGATGGATAGATTGACACAGAGATGGATGGATAGATAAATTAATGTATGTATATATGGAGAAATAGATGGAGAGATGGATTAATAAATGGACAGACTGATGGATGAATAGGTGGACAGACTGATGGATGGGTAGACAGATAGAAAGGTGAATATATGGATGGAACGATGAGTAGATGAGTTTGATGGTTGAATAGATTGACTATAAATAGATGGATATTTGGGTGGATAGATAGATGGATGGGTA